GTGTGTGGTGGGGGGGGGGGGGGGGGGGGGGTGAAACACGAGTGCGTTATCAACTGCGCCAGCGACAACTTCTTCGTTTGCTTCACTCGACAGACATTGGAATGGTTTTAATAAAGTATTTCACAGAAACATTCACGTATTTTCGCCTCACACTGCTCGGCGCTACCATGAAATAATACCCCTAATTCGTTAAGAAAAAAAATCTCCCCTAGCTCCGCGAATTACTCACTTTCAGACATTTTTTGTCACGTTCTTTTCAACAAAGATTAAAATAACTGACTCTATATTTTCAAAAGCAATTAGACAGCTGCAGTGACCTGCAGCCGAAGGTCATGTATACAACAGGCTAAGGACTATAATCACTAGCCTAAATAACCAATTCACCGTAACTTTCTGAATTCACCTAGTAACAATGTAAAAAGCTGAATAAACATATTTGTCACTTTCACAAAACAGACATTAAACTTAGTATATAGGAGGCACGGTAGTCCAGTGGTAGGACGCGGGGCTCGTGACCGAAGGGTGACCAAATGAGTACGTGGTTGGGCAGTGCTAGAATTGTTGAATGCTAGCTGAAATGGCAGCTCCGGCTGTATGCTCCCCAGGGAGTTGAGAAATGTATTGGCTGGTTCCCCGATCGGACGTGAAAAGGTGTGGGCCTGCCCGACCACGTGGGTTTTCTCCGGGTACTCCAGTTTCCTTCCACACTTAGACCTCCACGCGCTAACATCCCGGCTAACAAGAGTGATAAATATAAGTTGAACTAACTTGTTTTATAATTGTTGTAAAATCAATAAAGTTTATATTTTATATTGCCTGGTTGCAAAGGCCCTATAACCACGCATAATCACGACCTGCGAACTAGGTTGTAATAAAGCGGTATATAAGAACCTCCAATTATTGTTTAAGTTCAATCATGAACACCTATTGTTGACCACTTTACTCAAACACCTTTTATTTCCATATCGTCGTCATTCAAGTTCTCAAATCAGGTCAAGCCTGAAGAATAAGCTATCGGCACATCTTTCTCCAACAAGAAATCGAAAGTATTCACCTCGATTTCATTACAATTACAAATAGTTTTAATCTTCTTGTTTCGAATGTTGGTAGAAAGTGGTACATCGAACGTAATTCAAAGGTATTCAGGCAGTAAAATGTTCTGATAGTCACGGAGAAGAAAGCATCATTTAGAACAGTTAAACACTTAAGTAAGGAAGCCGTGAGGGGACCTTTTGACGTTTGACTTTGGGCTTCCGTACAAAAGCCACTTGCTGTACCTATGTATTGACTAACTATTGACACATGTGGGTAACACCATTGATTACCATGTCATGCGTTGGTATATCAATTGCCTTGTCAAGTCAAACGTTTCTCTATCACGTATCAATGTTCTGGGAGAAACATGCCTCCCGAATAAACAACTCTAGTTAGTAAAACATCTTAACCAATCATTACTCGTCAGGTAAGCTCTCCAGGTACATGTTTTTAAACCTTAGCTAAGGTGGTATATCTTACCCGTAGTTTCTGTTTATGGACTTTGTTAGTTTGAACACGGGGGTTGATTCTGTTCAATCACGTTAACAAACACTACTAACCAATCACTCGTCACGTGTCGTCGAACTCTATCAGTAATACTGAAGAAAGTAGATATCGTGATATCGTTATAAGGACAACCTATGTCACGACTCTCGGTAGAGAATTTAGATATCGTTATAAGGACAACCTATGTCACGACTTTCGGTAGAGGATTTAGATATCGTTATATCGTTATAAGGACAAACTATGTCACGACTCTCGGTAGAGGATTTAGATATCGTGATATCGTTATAAGGACAAACTATGTCACGACTCTCAGTAGAGGATTGAGATATCGTTATAAGGACAACCTATGTCACGACTCTCGGTAGAGGATTTAGATATCGTTATATCGTTATAAGGACAACCTATGTCACGACTTTCGGTAGAGGATTGAGATATCGTTATATCGTTATAAGGACAACCTATTTCACGACTTTCGTTAGATGATTTAGATATCGTTATATCGTTATAAGGACAACCTATGTCACGACTTTCGGTAGAGGATTAAGATATCGTTATATCGTTATAAGGACAACCTATGTCACGACTTTGGGTAGAGGATTTAGATATCGTTATATCGTTATAAGGACAACCTATTTCACGACTTTCGGTAGATGATTTAGATATCGTTATATCGTTATAAGGACAACCTATGTCACGACTTTCGGTAGAGGAGCACTTCCAGTTTGTATCAATTTATCAACTGTATGTTAGTTCACGTACACGTAGGAATTGAATAAAACAAATTATATTGTGTCAATCTGCATTTAAACTTGACCATACGCTGGTACATAATACTAATCGGAAAAGAGCTTTGCAATTTCGATAAATATTTGCAATCAATTTTACTAGAACGGTGAACATATTAGACACCCGAAAAGGGTCCAACACTATCTGGCATAACGGACTCATTCATAAAATGTCGGGCTTTAGTATTAGAGGACTTACATTGTATATATAACATAATATGTCAGTTCTATACCGGTATACCAATGACAATGACATTGGTATACCAAGCGCTGTTATGACCCCCTGGGTTCTCTCCCGCTGGCTTCCGCTCAGATTTGGAATACGGCAGATGGGAGTCGTCTCAGCAACTGTTTTGTACCTCGTCTATATACACGACTTACTGAACGAACTGGACTCATCACAGAATGGTTCTACGAACTAAACTGTGGCAATCCCGCGCTCGCAGATGATAGGTCCTTAATCGCCACAAATCCTGCCTCTTTGAGTATAACGCGACCAAAAGTGCAGTACTTATCTTCGGTAAAAACAGGATATTGGAACTACGAATGGACAATACATTCTAAGAAACTGGCCATAATAAATTCGTACAAACATGTCGGATGATTATTAGAAAACGACGTGAAAATTGGAGATAATAATGCAAATGGCTGTGAAAAGGGACGAAAATCGTTGAATTTAATTACAAGGTTTGGGCAGGACTGCCGAACAGCAAATCCGCTTTTAACGACAACCTGATATTGGAAGGTAATATTGCCCAGTTTATTATACGGTTCACAATTCTGGAGCAATCCACACAAAACGACACCAAAAGTCCTAAGCGTTTTCCAACATGGACTGGCAAAAAGAATGCAGCGTTTCCGAAAATGTTCCCGTTCAGATATCGCCGAGACGATGCTCGGACTACAGAGAATAACCACAGAAATCGACAACAAGAACTTTTGTTCATTCGTACCAAAAAATACATCGATAGACAGGCAAAACACACACTGGGATTTATTCCGGAGAGTTGGAAAATATTGTACAAATATGATCTACAAAGTTATAATATGAACTATTTACGATATGATCAAAACTTCCATCGGCAGTACAGAAAAGATTTTATTGAAGGAAAGACTAGATAGGAATGTTGACATCGTAACATACCGTGGTAATCATGAACCATACTGTACTCCGTACTACGGACAATACCATTTTAATCCACCAGATATGTTACAAATATGTTAATTGTATACAGTACCAACACTGCCCCTTTAACCTATGTAAAGAATATATACTATATAGAACCTATCTGACATTTTGTTACACATTGAAGTACCACCCTTAATAAGACAATCGCTTTCATGATCCATGTTATAGAGACCTACGGCACGGATGCCGGTGTAAACCTTGACAATCTCTCCCATGAACACTTCCTTAGATTACTGTAAGGAAAGTGTCCGGTAATATCATTTACGTACTGTACTGTCCGCCCTCCATCAGTAAATGTGTCTTAGATAAAAACAAAAGAGATCACATCCATCTTCCGTGTTCGGGTATGTCTTATACAGGGTTTTTATATCAGTATATATGAAATCGTTGTTATATATTTTTTGTCTATGATGTTGTAATGCTGTGCGCAAAAACAAAAAGCATAAGGCTTAAGCTAATAAACAATAGAATACATTGGAGGTAATGCAAACCGTATTCATGTGCTACCGACTATACGCCGTTCAGCATTCAGTTTATGTCGTTCTCATAAATATTGTATAAAATAAGAAATTCTAAAAGCACATTCCGAAATCAACGATAAATGATTAAGTTGGGTAGAGCAAGAGTTTAAAAAAAAATTGATATCTATGAATTGGTGGCATTTTAAAGACAAAAAACTTGTTATTGACAGTGGTAGAACTGATTTCATGTATTGAAGTATGTACATGTATCACACACTGCACGTGCACGTTACGAGCTCGAGGTATGCTCACATTGGACAGTGTATATCAAGTGATTAGTTTATCAGCCATTTCTTATATCACCGTCAAAGATACTTCCACAGTTTGGAAATATTTCTGTCACTAAAGTTATTTTGCTTTCGTGAAATTTTAATGGGCAAGAAGGATAGAAAAGTACGTAAGGCGAACGATAGCGCCCAGCCGTCCGTATCGGTATAACCACGGTCATACGGTTCACACATACCTGTTAACAACAATAACAGTGTGCGCTCAGGTAAACAGGACCTATCAACAAGTGACATTATATCGGCTGCCCATAAGGAATTATTTTGCTCTCCCACTATGAATAGCATGGCGTCTCATCCAGTATATTTTCAGCAACCCTCCCCCGGGGTCATCAGCGGAGCGCGGCACCTAACAGCCCGGCCAATCACATGCCATCATTCCAATCAGGATATGCGAGTAACATGGATAATGTTTTACATGATATTTTTAATAGACTTTCGAAACTTGACACTCTTAATTTGATCATGAACCGATTGAAAATAATAGAGGATAAATTTGCTGGTATGGAAGAAAATTATAGAACTACAAACAAGGTCGATAAAAGACAGTTTGCCTTTTTCCGGAATCCCGAAAATGACGCCAACGAAAATTCAGAAACTATGCTGAAAGAGTTTATTAAGTCTGAAATGGGAGTTGAGGAGGATATAGAGTTCCAAGTTGTCTACAGGCTGAGGAAGCGCCCAGACGACAAGCCTCGATCGATGGTGGCTAGTTTCGTGAAAAGAAAAGACCGCGAAACTATCCTCAAAGCCGCGCCTAATCTGCGTAACAAAGTATACTCTGTAAATGAACAGTTTCCCCAAGAGCTAAACGATAGACGGCGCGCACTGTATCCAGTTTACAGGGAGGCTCGTGATCGCGGGCAAAATGCTCGACTGAAGGGAGACAAATTGTTCATTGACGGAAGGCTATACAATCCATCCCCACAAGAATCAGCTACCACGACCTCCTGTGTGGCCCGCCGTGATCCAAGCCGTCCTTCCGGTTCCGGTCCCGCTTCCGGTCACGATAGGAGACGGCAACCACGTGGACGCGGACACTCTAACCATCAGTACAGTTAGGGGGACGTCACAAGAGGTCTATCACGTGACCTATATAGTGACTCTGATAATACTGTTACTTCTACAGAAACTGATTGTACAGAACCACTTAAACTCTCATTGCTAAATTTATGTGGTATCAAATCAAAACTTAGTTTACCAGAATTTGCATTATTGATTGAATCCTATGATATACTAATTTTTGTTGAAAGTAAGATGGATGATTTTGATGTATTACAGCTACCACACGGGTATGCATATTTTTGTAAAAATAGGTAAAAAAGGGTGAGGAAGAAATCTGGTGGTATTGTTATCATATATAAAGAATAATTGAAATCGCAGTTACTCTTTCACCATACTCCTTCAGATTTTGTCCAATGGTTAAGATTATCAAAAAACTTGATGAGTCAAGATTGTGACATGTTATTGGGATGTGCATACATTCCCCCTGAAAACTCCAAATATTCGTCAACGGAATGTTTTGAAGAAATAGAGAATGAGATGAATGATCTGACTGAAAACAGTTGTAAACTAGCACTTGTTGGTGATTTTAATGCCAAAACTCAATGTAAAGATGATTTTGTACAATCTGACGACACACTTATTGAAGCACTTGATGTAAATATGAATGATGAACTTTATAAGACTTTTATGATTTACAAAAATTAAACGAACTTGGTGTACCATTAAAACGAGCTAGCCAGTGTAAGGCAAGATCAAATAGTTTCGGGTATAAATTGCTTGATTTTTGTAAAGAAAATAATTTATATATTGCAAATGGTCGAGTTGGGATAGACAAATTAGTTGGGAAGACAACTTGTAATTATACCAGTGTAATTGACTATCTCTTATTGTCATCAGATCTTTTGGAAATTGTAACAAATTTTGAAATTCTTGATTTTGATCCTTTAATTTCTGATGTTCATTGTAGACTCGAATTTTGTTTGAAAAGAACGGAAGTGCACAATATAAATGTTAGAAGTAAGGATTTACCCACAAGTAACTATGTTAAATGGAATAATGACAAGGTATCGAACTTCGTCAATTATATTGAAGAAGATAATAATGGTACTTTAAAAAAAATGTTGAAAAATTGGACCTGATTACGGGAAAACCTAGCAATTTAGTTACAGCTGTTGAAATAAATGATGTAGTAAATACAATGAGCAATTTATTCAAAGATTCGGCAAAACATAACTTTGGGGAAAAGAAGGTTTTTCATAAAAACATACAAAAGTAAAAAAAAACCTAGAAAACCTTGGTTTACTCGGGAATGTCATCTTAAGAGGTTAGATTTTCATAGAGCAAAACGTCGCTCTAATGCCAATAAAATTCTCACAAACAAAATTACTCTTAAAAATACAGGAGAAATTTGAATAAATTTTATAAAATTCATCAAGAGAAAATGGAAATGGGACTAAGAAAAGTTTCAAAAATAGAGCCCAAAACATTCTGGCACAATGAAATCGACGGCACTTGTAAGGGGCAGAATGTTGATAAAAATATCAATGAATTATACAGCTACGTTAAAGATCTGAACAAGGGAGGTAACTCTACTGAAAACTTGTATATGAAGATGGGAGATTTGATGATCTGTTGAATGGAGAAATTACCGAATGTGAAATTACTAAATCCATTTCTTGTTTAAGTAACAATAAGGCTTCAGGTTATGATGGAATCTTGAATGAATATTTAAAATCCACTGTTGAATTATTTAAACCATTATATTATAAGTTATTTAATGCTATATTTAATACAGGCTGTATACCTGACTCTTGGAAGACAGGTGTTATAAAACCCATATATAAACGTAAAGGTGATCCGGATAATTTAGATAATTATAGAGCAATAAGTCTCGTCTCATGTCTTGGAAAAGTGTTTACATCCATATTTAATATCAGATTAAATAAAATGGCTAATGAAATAAATCTTATATCTTGGGCTCAGGCTGGATTCAGGAAAAATCACTCCACCACGGACAATATTTGCATCCTACATGCCTTAATCTCAATTTATTTTTCACTCGGAAAAATAGTTGTTTTGTTCCTTTATAGATTTCAAAAAGGCATTTGATTCGGTTTGGAGACTTGGGCTATGGAAAAAAGTTCAAAAAAGTAAAATAACTATGAAAATGTTCAAAGTCATTTTTAATTTTTATGCAAATACTAAATCCTGTGTTAAAAAATGGAAATGATATATCTGAAATGTTCAACTGTTACGTCGGGGTAAAACAAGGGGAAAATTTATCGCCATTTTTATTTGCCATTTATCTTAATGATCTAGAAGATTTTCTTGAAGAAAACAGCGTTAATTGTTTATAAACAATAGAAACTTTAAGTGAAAATATTGGAATATATATTAAACTGTTTATAATTCTCTATGCAGATGATACTATTATCATGTCTGAATCGGCGGAAGGACTCCAATCAGCTCTTAATACTTTTGAATTATATTGTAACAGCTGGAAGCTTGATGTAAATATCAACAAAACCAAAATTGTTATATCTTTTAAAGAGAAAATGTCGAACACAGTTTCATTTTACAATATGTAAGGAAGAGATAGAGGTTCTTGAATCATTCTCCTATTTAGGAGTCTTAATGAGTTACAATGGAAGTTATTTCAAAGAAAAATGAAATTGTTGGAACAGTCCAAAAAAGCTATGTTTGCTGTGTACAAGAAAATTAGAAATATTTCATTACCTGTAAACCTTCAATTAATTTGTTTTTGATTCTCTTGTATTACCAATACTTCTCTATTCAGTAGAAGTATGGGCTTATGAAAATTAAAGTGCTATTGAAAAACTACATTTACAATTCTGCAAACGTATATTGGGTATTAAAAGAAGCACGCCAAACTACATGGTTTATGGAGAGATCGGGAGATTCCCTTTATATGTTGAAGTTAAAACCAGAGTAATTATGTTTTGGTATAAATTGATAACTAGCAATAGTCTGTCAAGCACTATGTTTAACTTAATATTTAACTTACAAACAAATGGAATCATGGAGTTCAAATGGTTAAAGAATGTTCAGGATGTATGTATAGAAACAGGTTTAAATTTTATCTGGGCATATCTGAAAACATGTACATTTAATAGAGATTATTTGAAACTTGTTGTGAAACAAAGATTACAAGATCAGTTTATCCAAAAATGGTTTAACGATATTGAGAGCTCTTCTACCTATTCCAATTTTAAAACAAATTTTGAACTTGAAAATTACGTTGTGAAACTAAAGCCAAAAGAAAGACAAATTATTGTTAAGTTTAGAACTTCAAATATGCACTTACCTATAGAAACTGGAAGATGGATTGGAATACCCAAAGAAAACAGAACTTGTAATCTTTGTTTTAATGAAATTGGTGATGAATATTATTATCTATTTAAGTGCGAACATGTATCTGTTAAACAAATAAGACAACTATTTATTCCAAATTACTACTATACTTACCATAGCCTTATCAAAATGAGTGGACTATTTACTATATGCAATGTAAAAGTTTTAAAAAATGTGAAAAGCTATTGAATGTATGTAATTAGCTTGTAGCCTTTATGCCTTTGTTATCCGCCATGTATATATAAATATGATACATATTGACCTCTTGTTACATACTTTGTATGTCTGAGAGAAATAAAAATCTAAATCTAAATTGGTCAAGTAGCTCTATACACAAGTCAACGTAGCATACATCCTCATAGAAAACATGTGTTATTAATTAGTATAAATTCCCTTATCTTACTTTGTACGTACTGAACGAAGGTTTTAGATGAGTCCCTCTTTTCTACGTGTTTAGATAAAAAATATTAAATCAAGTTAATTGTGTATCGAGCAGCTTTAAACAGCGTTTGACTGCACGTGCCCTAGTCTGTTCGTTGTATAGTGTCATTCGTACTAACTTTGTAAAAGTTAATCATGTCAGTTAAAATGTTTAACAAATATTACGATATTTTAGTAAATCTTATTTTGATATTTGATAAAAATATCCTATCTGGTTCATTCAATTTACCATCTGCTGGCGGTATCAATGGGTGTTTGTTTGGGGCTGTCGATAGCCAGTTATCAGTTGATTAGGAAAGCCGAGAGGGTAGTAGTAACAAATCCAGACCAATCTCAGTAATCAACCCATATGTAAACTAATAAGTAGCCCCGAACCAGCCGGCCAGCGTGAAGTACTGTATACTACTGTTTACACTGCGGGAGTCCGTAAGGAACAGGACGACTGTCGTCTACTTAACTTACATTAATGCAGTCCAGACTACTATCTCCATGGTATACCTGACTAACTTATAGTCCTCACGCTACTCCATAGCAACCTTAAATGGTGTCTGGATGCCAAGAGCATCTCATTGTATTAGATCAGATTCCAACATCACAGCGCATGCGTTATCTCAGACTTTACGGAAGTTACTGCGGCTAAAAGAAACGAGGCTTGTTTCTTACTATCCATCTTCTTTTTGGTGCTACTACGTCCGAACCTACCTACCAACATGGTAAGTGTGACCCTTCCTTGTGAAATATTTCAGCCCCTTCGAATTGTTTAAACGTTCACCAATATATTCCCCCTACCTATCACCGTATAATGGATATTTCGCTTTATGTTTGGTCAACTGTGTTACGAGACTTAGAGTGGACGTACCATTGACGGTTGTTATGGGACCCTCCCGCGTGAGAACCCAGTGTTTCCCCGAATTAATCATGGAACTCATTTCATTCCATTGCAGACTGAAGAATTCAGGGCGTCAGAAAAGCAGATCCTCGGTAAGTAGGATTTATTATTACATGTATCGTAAGGTCGAAAGTAACATAAAAATTGAAATGAAATAATGCTTTATCAACTTTATTACGTGTTTAACCTGTATTATAGACTTACACCTGTGTTATTGGTGTTGTTTAATTACACGTGTTATCACCTGCCTGGTGACGTATACTACACGTACAATATCAGAATACGTATTGCTATCAGGGAGTGTTGAACATATGCAATTGTGCATGTGCATAACTTTTAGTTATGATTATAAGGAGCACGGAAAATATATCTCCACGTATCATCAGTGATTAAGCAATATGATGGAGGTATATACACGATTCCTGGGTAGTGATAAGCTGTGAGAATATTGTTGTACGATTGCCGGCTACTGATAAGCTGTAAAGTCGTTGTTTATGCTACAGTAACTAGGCCTTTACAACTCTCTGGGAGGTTACGAGCGTCCGTTACCGAGAGTTCACGGAGATAAAACACACAGTGATGATGCTGCTGCACTGAAATCTGATAGCCCCCAATACGTGTCTGCCAGCCCCAAATATGGCAGGTACACGTCATCTCCATGGCAATAACCCCACGCACATGCTGAGTTACTGAAGAGTTGGTAGCATACACAAGTAAACAAGCTTTGTTCAGTCAACATTTCTCAGGTAGTTCGTAAACACGTCAACAATGTTCATTTTAAATAGAGCCTAGTTACCATTTAAATCATTCTCATGTTATACAATGTAAATAAATATCGTCTTTTATACAGTTAGTATTCATGTACACAGTTATCATGTTATATACAGTAAGTAACAATGTAAACAAGTATCGTGTTACATACAGTTAGTGTCAATGTAAACAATTATCGTGTTATATACAGTAAGTAACAATGTAAGCAAGTATCGTGTTACATACAGTTAGTGTCAATGTAAACAATTATCGTGTTATATACAGTAAGTAACAATGTAAACAAGTATCGTGTTACATACAGTTAGTGTCAATGTAAACAATTATCGTGTTATATACAGTAAGTAACAATGTAAGCAAGTATCGTGTTACATACAGTTAGTGTCAATGTAAACAATTATCGTGTTATATACAGTAAGTAACAATGTAAACAATTATCGTGTTATACATGTATACAGTTAGTAATCATGTAAACAGTAATCATGTTATATACAGTAAGTAACAATGTAAACAAGTATCGTGTTACATATAGTTAGTGTCAATGTAAACAATTATCGTGTTATACATGTATACAGTGAGTAACAATGTAAACAGTTATCGTGTTATATACAGTTAGTAACAATGTAAACAGTTATCGTGTTATTTACTGTTAGTAACAATGTAAACAATTATCGTGTCATACATAGTTAGTAATCATGTAAACAATTATCGTGTTATATACAATTAGTAATCATGTAAACAATGATCGTGTTATATACAATTAGTAATCATGTAAACAAGTATCGTGTTATATACAGTTAGTAACAACGTAAACAGTTATCGTGTTATACATAATTAGTAATCATGTAAACAATTATCGTGTTATATACAATTAGTAACAATGTAAACAGTTATCGTGTTACATGTATATACAGTTAGTAATCATGTAAACAGTTATCGTGTTATATACAGTTAGTAACAATGTAAACAGTTATCGTGTTACATGTATATACAATTAGTAATCATGTAAACAGTTATCGTGTTATATACAGTTAGTAACAATGTAAACAGTTATCGTGTTACATGTATATACAGTTAGTAATCATGTAAACAGTTATCGTGTTATATACAGTAAGTAACAATGTAAACAAGTATCGTGTTATATACAGTTAGTAACAATGTAAACAGTTATCGTGTCATACATAGTTAGTAATCATGTAAACAGTTATCGTGTTATATACAGTTAGTAACAATGTAAACAGTTATCGTGTTATATACAGTTAGTAATAATGTAAACAGTTATCGTATTACATGTATATACAGTTAGTAATCATGTAAACAGTTATCGTGTTATATACAGTTAGTAACAATGTAAACAAGTATCGTGTTATATACAGTTAGTAACAATGTAAACAGTTATCGTGTCATACAAAGTTAGTAATCATGTAAACAATTATTGTGTTATATACAATTAGTAATCATGTAAACAATTATCGTGTTATATACAATTAGTAATCATGTAAACAATGATCGTGTTATATACAATTAGTAATCATGTCAACAATTATCGTGTTATATACAGTTAGTTACAATGTAAACAGTTATCGTGTTATATACAGTTAGTAACAATGTAAACAGTTGTCGTGTTATATACAGTTAGTAACAATGTAAACAATTATCGTGTTATACACAGTTAGTAATCATGTAAACAGTTATCGTGTTATATACAGTTGGTAACAATGTAAACAGTGATCGTGTTATATACAGTTAGTAACAATGTGAACAGTTATCTTGTTATAAACAGTTAGTAACAATGTAAACAGTTTTCGTGTTATATACATTTAGTAATCATGTAAACAATTATCGTTGTATATATAGTTAGTAACAATGTAAACAGTTATCGTGTTATATACTGTTAGTAAGTATGTAAACAAGTATCGTGTTATATACAGTTAGTAACAATGTAAACAGTTTTCGTGTTATATACAGTTGGTAACAATGTAAACAGTTATCGTGTTATATACAGTTAGTAACAATGTAAACATTTATCGTGTCATACATAGTCAGTAATCATGTAAACAATTTTCGTTGTATATATAGTTAGTAACAATATATACAGTAAGTAACAATGTAAGCAGTTTTCGTGTTATATACTGTTGGTAACAATGTAAACAGATTTCGTGTTATATACATTTAGTAATCATGTAAACAATTATCGTGTTATATACAATTAGTAATCATGTCAACAATTATCGTGTTATATACAGTTAGTAACAATGTAAACAGCTATCGTGTTATATACAGTTAGTAACAATGTAAATATGTATCGTGCTATATACAGTTAGTAACAATGTAAATACTTATCGTGTTATATACAGTTAGTAACAATGAAAATACTTATATCGTGCTACGTAAAGTTTAATGTACATGTAGCAACCATCACATATTGTATCGGAATGTCTATTGTTGTATATAGTATCGTTTATTATATCGCCACCTATCATATAGTGTTTTGTAACCTCCTGACGCTGTGCAGCGAAATGTGCACCAAGTCTGTTAAATACACTAAAAATCAGCTGATGCATATCTTAACATTTACGTAATACATGTCTAGCATCACTGTATCTTGGAATCCACGTTACTCCTGTATTTTCCCAGATCTTGTAGTTACCTATGTGTAAGTAAGAAGTAAGCACGTGCATCGTAGGTATGTACCTACATCAAGTCTATTTTTGTATCGGCTTATTATCGGCCAGTATGTGTGAGGCAAAATGCTGGTTTATGAACATATGTCTGGGCCTGTGTTTGTTGAACATAGCCCCGCGAATGTGGTGAATGTAGTCTTGCGAAATGTACGTGCGATAGCATTCGTATGATTTAGGAGCACGTGTTGGAGTGTGCCTGGTGCCATAAACATCATTACAGTCTGTATAAGCACGAGATAAATAACTTACGATATACATACACTAGGAAAGTCTGGCACACGTACAGGGGTTCGTAACTTCTACTGGCACAAATTAAACCTACAACCGTACCGAGGGATTGGTCCCAGAAATAGACACATCTGTTGTCCAAGTGTTGTATCACTGACCAGTCTGACCAAGTGTATGCTGTACATGTACCCCTACTCAGCCTGTCTTAAGGTTGTATGTTACTGTAGATAAATACGTGTATACTCTCCAAGGCTTCCTTGTTTTTCTACTTCTTTATCATCGGCATCGCGGGAGATATTTTTCTGATACTCTAATGAAAACTTTGTAAATAGTCAAATCTAGGAGTTCGTCATGATATGCTATTCAAGTGTTCAGTGCTCTGTATTACGCTTTTGTTTCAGATGCCAAGCAGGCATTTTGTAACGTTGACAAAAAGAAGGAGGGAACAGTGTCATGTAAAGACTTAGGCGCCATCTTCAAGTCTCTCGGTCTGTTGGTGAAGGACGACAAAATCAAGGACTGGTCCGACGAGATGGACGAGGAAGGTGAGAGAAAAGGGAGATGGTAGAAATGACTGATAAGAGAAAGTAACTAGTGTTTACCTCTAACGTGAGTCGTATCACAGGGACCAGACACAGTACACATATTATAACTCTAATGTGAGTCGTATCACAGGGACCAGACACAGTACACATACTATAACTCTAACGTGAGTCGTATCACAGGGACCAGACACAGTACACATATTATAACTCTAACGTGAGTCGTATCACAGGGGCCAGACACAGTACACATATTATAACTCTAACGTGAGTCGTATCACTGGGATCAGACACAGTACACATATTATAACTCTAACGTGAGTCGTATCACAGGGACCAGACACAGTACACATACCATAACTCTAACGTGAGTCGTATCACAGGGACCAGACACAGTACACATATTATAACTATAGATACATATGTACATTGTACATTTAGCGAACGAGAAAACATGTGACTAATGTACTATAGAAACATGGTTTAATCAACTTATAACTATGTTTCCGCTGAATCGAATCAGTGTAGTTTGACGCTTTCCTCCGGCCTCGATTAACACGAGACCATTTTGTTGACATCAGGCTGTTCCAGGAACATAAGTTGCGCTAACGATACAGACATTTTACTTTCGAAAATAGTAAGGTATTTTAATATTCAATTCATTAATAACTGTATTACGAATTTTAAGATAACTATTCAACAGTTTCAAACAGTCATGCCGGTATTGAACACTCACTAGTCGGTTTCATTCTTATGTAGCAAGAAGCCCTGGCGGGTTTCAGCCAAATTGGTTGTAACCGATTTATAAACATTCATTTTACCCCAATCAGACCGTCGTAGACAAAGAGCTGTTGGTTTGGACAAACTATACTGTATGAGGAAAAATGCATTCAGAGCTGAAAGATGGATCTTTAAATACGTATCACACTTCAACTTTTATTGCTCATAGATTTTGAAAAAATAGATTAACTCTCTAAAATCAAATTTGAAATTTTATCTTCTAATCACTTACTGTTCATGGATTTGGTCTTTCGATAAATGTAGTTAAATGTATGTGATGACTATGGAGTTGTCTAGTCCTCATAGTTTTCCTTGTTCGTCTCTCCTTTTTCGGGGTCAAATACGACTATGGGACAAGCATTCAGATTGGCTGACCAATCAGACGGCTTGTTTAATGTAGTAGCCGTTGTTGACAGAAACAGCTGGGAAGTAACATCGCAACATGTCAGGACTAGACAGCTATACAAAATATTAGGAATGCTGCAGGAGGTCATAGGTACGCAGAACGCTAACAACAGTGTGTAACGTATGGAAACTAGTGCATCAGAAAAGGCTCAGCCCATTACATCGATAAAAGGCTCAGCCCATTACACCGATAAAAGGCTCAGCCCATTACATCGATATGACTTTCGGTGCAAAATCCATTTTGTACGTTTTTCGACTGACATCACATCAACGTATCTTATAAAATAAGTTATTTCGTTAAACATTTGAATACCATATACACTGTATGTTACTGAATGTCTATTCCTCGCCTTGAATTAGAGCTATAATTTGTCCATTCCGACAGCATTTTTTTTTTTTATATTTTCGTTACTGAACGAGTTTCGTACCTTCTATATATTAACGCAGTAGCAATATTTTTCTCATTTGCTGTACGTTTACAATGTGGTTAGGTACCCAAAGCTTATTTTAGCTCTTTGACATAATTAACAACATGTCCAATCTTCGAAGTCTCTCAACATTAGTGGTAGTATCTGACGTATAGGGATAGTGTCTGACGTATACTTTGGACGATGAGTACACATTAGACGTTGACGAGTACACATTAGACATTGGCGAGTACACATTAGACGCTGACGAGTACACGGGACGTTGACGAGTACACATAAGACGTTGACGAGTACACATTGGACGTTGACGAGTATACATTGGACGTTGACGAGTACACATTAGACGTAGACGAGTACACGGGACGTTGACGAGTATCCATTGGACGTTGACGAGTACACATTAGGCGTTGACGAGTACACGGGACGTTGACGCGCATACATTGGACGTTGACGAGTATACATTGGTCGTTGACGAGTACACATTAGACGTTTACGAGTACACATTGGACGTTGACGAGTATCCATTGGACGTTGACGAGTACACGGGACGTTGACGCGTACACATTAGACGTTGACGAGTATACACTAGACGTTGACGAGTACACATTAGACATTGACGAGTACACATTGGACGTTGACGAGTACACATAAGACGTTGACGAGGACACATTGGACGTTGACGAGTATACATTGGAGGTTGACGAGTACACATTAGACGTTGCCGAGTACACACTGGACGTTGACGAGTATACATTAGAGTAGTATCTGACGTATAGGGATAGTGTCTGACGTATACTTTGGACGATGAGTACACATTAGACGTTGACGAGTCCACTGACGTATACTTTGGACGATGAGTACACATTAGACGTTGACGAGTCAACATTGGACGTTGACGAGTATACATTGCACGTTGACGAGTACACATTAGACGTAGACGAGTACACGGGACGTTGACGAGCACACATAAGACGTTGACGAGTACACATTGGGCGTTGACGAGTATACATTAGACGTTGACGAGCACACATTAGACGTTGACGAGTACACATTAGACTTTGACGAGTACACGGGACGTTGACGGGTATACATTGGACGTTGACGAGTATACATTGCACGTTGACGAGTACACATTAGACGTAGACGAGTACACGGGACGTTGACGAGCACACATAAGACGTTGACGAGTACACATTGGGCGTTGACGAGTATACATTAGACGTTGACGAGTACACATTATACATTGGCGAGTACACATTAGACGCTGACGAGTACACGGGACGTTGAAGAGTACACGGGACGTTGACGAGTATCCATTGGACGTTGACGAGTACACATTAGACGGTGACGAGTACACTGGACGTTGACGAGTATACATTGGACGTTGGCGAGTACACATTAGACGCTGACGCGTACACGGGACGTTGACGAGTACACGGGATGTTGACGAGTATACATTGGACGTTGTCGAGTACACATTAGACGTTGACGAGAACACGGGAAGTTGACGAGTATACATTGGACTTTGACGAGTACACATTAGACGTTGAAGAGTACACACTGGACGTTGACAAGTACACGTAATTAAACGTATATAACGTGTAAACGTTCAGTAATAGCATCTGATATTCCAGTATTAGAGAGTGACTTGTATAAATAAATACATGTAGTTGATGATTACACATTACACACCATTAACTAGTAACAAGAAAATATTTCGAGTATACATTGGACGTTGACGAGCATACATTGGACGTTGACGAGTACACCTTAGCCCTTGACGAGGACACGGGACGTTGACGAGTACACATTAGACTTTGACGAGTACACGGGACGTTGACGCGAACACATTAGACGTTGACGAGTACACATTATACATTGGCGAGTACACATTAGACGCTGACGCGTACACGGGACGTTGACGAGTACACGGGATGTTGACGAGTATACATTGGACGTTGAAGAGTACACATTAGACGTTGACGAGTCAACATTGGACGTTGACGAGTATACATTGGAGGTTGACGAGTACACATTAGACGTTGAAGAGTACACACTGGACGTTGACAAGTACACGTAATTAAACGTATTTAACGTTTAAACGTTCAGTAATAGCATCTGATATTCCAGTATTAGAGAGTGACTTGTATAAATAAATACATGTAGTTGATGATTACACATTACACACCATTAACTAGTAACAAGAAAATATTTCGAGTATACATTGGACGTTGACGAGGACACATTAGACGTTGACGAGTACACACTGGACGATGACGAGTATACATTGGACGTTGACAAGTACACATTAGACGTTGACGAGTATACACTAGACGTTGACGAGTACACATTAGACGTAGACGAGTACACGGGACGTTGACGAGCACACATAAGACGTTGACGAGTACACATTGGGCGTTGACGAGTATACATTGGACGTTGAAGAGTACACATTAGACGTTGACGAGTCAACATTGGACGTTGACGAGTATACATTGCACGTTGACGAGTACACATTAGACGTAGACGAGTACACGGGACGTTGACGAGCACACGGGACGTTGACGAGTACACGGGATGTTGACGAGTATACATTGGACGTTGAAGAGTACACATTAGACGTTGACGAGTACACATTAGACGTTGACGAGTACACACTGGACGTTGACAAGTACACGTAATTAAACGTATTTAACGTGTAAACGTTCAGTAATAGCATCTGATATTCCAGTATTAGAGAGTGACTTGTATAAATAAATACATGTAGTTGATGATTACACATTACACACCATTAACTAGTAACAAGAAAATATTTGACAATGAAATATAATGTAGTTCACACAAATGTTTATACTGTGGAAGGCTTACATTATCTTATACTCTAGTGCCGTATACATATGACAAGGAAACCTAACAATTCACTCGGGGAACATATCATATATCTAACATCCGATAGATCTTTCATATGTATATATGATATAGAAAGTATATAAAATACCTTATGTATAACAACTATGTACATTATCTGATTTATAAATCAAATAACAAATAAGATTTCTGATTCAATATACATTTTGTATTTTATTAAATATGTTTAGTTGGTTTTAACCAGGGACATATTATGGCTCAGGCATGGACTGGAGAGCGCGAAGATCGTAACTTTGTTTCGATAGTATAGTATAATTTTTGAATCATAACATTACCCATTTTAATACAAACAAAATGTACCTGTATTTTTTTTTTACATGTATATATAATATACTTGAATCTGTTGCTGGGCAAAATCATTCATTTTGAAAACAGGCATTGCCTGAAACGAGCGAAGCGTCTTAAAGCTGTTTTTTCAATCTTATTTTCTAAATAACATTATTTCAAATAATATCTATTTATTCGTTTTATAGCAATAAAGTAATTAATGTAACATTTATAATCAGTAAAGAAAAACATTCGAATGAATTATGCAGTTCAAGAGAAAACACAAATGCACAAAAGCTAAACAGCATGGTAAAAATAGGACCGCGGTAACTCTATACTGTAGTTACTTCCGTGACGAAGGATACAATAATGTACCATGACTTCAATTGTTCGTACATGTTACCGGAAAAAGAGCTTCGCTTCTTGCGCCTTCGGCCTTCGGCGCAAGAAGAGCTGCGCTCTTATGATATACTGTCCCTGTTTTAACATATGTTATTGATGTTAAGTAGTATATCAGGTACGATATGCCGTAAATTGTAGAAACTTATGACAGTCCCTCAGCCATCGTAAAACGACTTTTGTTAACAAGAATACATATATTTACAATATGGCATAACAAAACATTTTAGAAGCATGGGAAGGACAGGAGAAACAGAGTGAAAATGTACGAGGGATCGGACAACTGGATCTTAATAAGAGCGAAGCTCTTTTCCGGAAACATGTACGAACAATTGAAGTCATGGTAACATCGAAATACTACGCTTCCAAAATCCTTCGTTACGGAAGTAGCTAGTATAGAGTTACCGCGGTCCTATTTTTACAATGCTGTTTAGCTTTGCTACACATTCTCAAAAATATCTCTTTATTTGTTTTTTTTTCTGTGGTTATGTAAATTCATGACATTAAAAATTGTTCAGTCTTTTCTTCTCTCTACTCAAACCGGAAGTATACAGTAATTACCAAACCAGACGGAAATCCGGATATGTTTGGACTATTGTGATTCTCTTTTTACACGATTTAGAGGGATCAGGAAAAGTATATCATGTCGAAAAATAAAATTGGAATTTAATCACCAATATACTTAACTTTTATAATAACAGATAATAACCTTCAAATATGAAGTCCCTCTACTGGGCCTCACTCTTTCCGGAACATTACGCTGAGGCAGTACCAAATGCATTTGTGTTTTCTCTTGAACTGCATAATTCATTCGAATGTTTTTCTTTGCTTATTATTAATTTTACATTAATTACTTTATCGCTATAAAACGAATAAAAAGATATTATTTTAAATAATGTTATTTAGAAAATAAGATTGAAAAAACAGCATTTAGACGCTTCGCTCGTTTCAGGCAATGCCTGTTTTCAAAATGAATGATTTTCCACAGCAACAGATTCAAGTATATTATAAAAAAAAAAAAAAAAAGTACAGGTACATTTTGTATGTATTCAAATGGGTAATGTTATGATTCAAAAATTATACTATACTATCGAAATAAATGTACGAGCTTCGCTCTCTCCAGGCCATGTCTGAGTCATATTAAGTTTAAACTGTAGACAACAAAAGACTAATCTAGTAAATATAAATATGACTGGCTCCATGAATAAAGGTTAAATTGGTCCGCCGGTTTAGTTATGCGATGGTGACGTGAACACATTAAACGGTAACGTATACGATTCTGTTGTTTCTCTCTCCAGCCACGGGCAGACTGAACTGTGACGCATGGATACAACTTTTCGAGAGGAAGCTTAAGGAAGACTTGGACGAGAGGGAGCTGAAGGAAGCCTTCCGAGTGCTCGACAAGGAGAAGAAGGGAGTGATTAAGGTGGATGTATTAAGATGGATCCTTAGCAGTTTAGGTGATGAATTAACAGAAGAGGAAATAGAGAACATGATTGCAGAAACCGACACTGACGGAAGTGGAACTGTAGATTATGAAGGTAAGTACGCATGCGCTACTATTACAAGTCAGTTAAAAAGACTTTGTTCTGCTTATTGAATTTTTCATATAATTTTGCTTCCTAACATCTTGATGTATTTTCTCATTAACATCTGACTCAACCTAAGATGCTACATTTGTGTATCTTGGAGGGAGCTATCAAACAATTGCTATTGTTCTCAACAATATATGTAATATATGTAAAACAATATATACAGTAATAATGGGGGGGAAACTTCACATCTATACATTTTGACAACGTAATCTAGATGAAAATATAGCATTGTAAAACTGTGAATGTGAAAATTAGCTAGTGATTGTGTGCATTGTTTGTGGTGTAACATGTGACATTGCTGTGATAAATTGCAGAAATGTGTTTGGTTCAACCCAGCGAGTAAACAAAGTGTAAGGCAAACAGTATTTGAATGAAGATTATGAGACCCCATAAATATTGACTTGTTGTTTATAGAACTTCCGGATGTTGAGATCGCAGCACACGGCTGATATTTTAAAACGTAGAAATGGTTGCTCTACCACCGTAAAAGTTGATATTTTGTCTAGATAAGTAATGTCTTGATGACTCTTACAAAGCGTACACACAATTTAAACCTTGTATGTTAACAGTTTACACACATGTAAGCGTACATACAATTTACAACCTTGTATGTTAACAGTTTACACACATGTAAGCGTACACATAATTTACAACCTTGTATGTTAATAGTTTACACACATGTAAGTGTACACACAATTTACAACCTTGTATGTTAATAGTTTACACACATGTAATGTACACACAATTAACAACCTTGTATGTTAACAGTTTACACACATGTAAGTTAGTTTACACACCACACAGTGTGTTAGTTCACACACGTATATTTGCTGTGATGACAGGTGTAGCAAACAGCGGTATAGTTCTGGACCGTCCTGTTAAAGTTTGAATTTTAGCTAGTATGATATTTTGTATATCATATATTTACATAATTATATTTTAGACATATGCATTCTTTGCGTATGAGTGTTTACCACGTTAATGCATCGTACCCCATCTTTGCTATGTGGAGTCTTTGATCTACATTGCACGTTACACACTACAACCCGTTGGCGGAAACAGCATGCGGCTTTTCTGTGTCATTTGATGGTCACTATCGAAGTGCTAAACTGTTCAGGACTTTCAATAAAAGAATCTTTATTTTTTTTTCTCTCGTAATTTGTATCCCTTTTCCCAATGGAAACAGAGAGCTCTCTCCGATAAAAGCAGGGTCACAGCGCATCGTGACAGATAGGCTGCACAAATAATGTTCATTGTTATCCGCCAATGGTTTGTAAGCATGCGTAACGATGATCTTTGATTTACATGTTTAAGATGAATGTACCCATGCTTCCTTTTTCATTCTCCATATAAATTTAGCAAATTCAGATTTGTATTTTTATGTAGAATGTGTGACGTTTTGCGCATAGTTTATATCGGTCTCAGCACTCTACTTCACACAAATATTGAAAGATCCTATAAATACCCGATACCTATTGTCTAGGCACTGGTCCGACTTTAAGGAGAATATTTGGTTATCAAGGTATATAGTTACGATTAGCATCTATTCTTTTCGTCTTGTTTTTAAAATAGACTACGAAAAAATAGTATTCTTTAAAAGTCCACAGGAAACAACCCTTTATATCCATATTTTCATTTCTTGGATTGTTATGATTGAGATAAAAATAGATCAGTTGAGCGTGGTACATATAATAACGGATCATGTAAAAGGGACTGATGACTTTCTGATCAACGATCACACGTCAACATCTGTACTTACTCTAGCTTCACGTGAATGGTGTTACGTTTCTCCCTACTTAGTCTAGCTTCACGTGAATGGTGTTACTTTTCTCCCTACTTAGTCTAGCTTCACGTGAAAGGTGTTACGTTCCCCCTACTAAGTCTAGCTTCACGTGAATGGTGTTACTTTTCTCCCTACTTAGTCTAGCTTCACGTGAATAGTGTTACTTTTCTCCCTAACTAGTCTAGCTTCACGTGAATGGTGTTACTTTTCTCCCTACTTAGTCTAGCTTCACGTGACCGGTATTACGTTTCTTCTTTAACGGTGTAACCGTTCACACCCGCCACTTCACATTCGACAGTCGTTAATTTCTTTTAGATAATTTATTTCAGACGTTCTGAACTCTAGGTTCTACAGTTGTGTTTTTTGTGTGCACTAGTTAGGCTTGACCCTCAAGTCCCAATTCGCTTGTCCCTCTCTTTTATACCACGAGACACGCCTAGCGCTCATCTCCATTATAGAAGCAAAAAGCGCGCCTCCATTCTGTCTTCACCACGTAGTGGAGAGTTGGATTAAGGGGGCACTGTCGGCCTGCTCTATATAGGAGCCCCACAACAGCCGCTTAATCATCTTGTTTGTTTGTTATCTATGTTTGTCTGCGCAATCCTAAATTTCACTGAAGTACAAAATGTAGCTGGTTTTGTATTAGTTGTCGAATAAATACATAATTTTGAACATAACAAAGATTAATGGTACAAACACCTTACACTATTTACGAAACTCGCCCCTTATAATGGATACTTCCCTACAGCAGTTAAGGCGAACTGTACCTAATGCTCCATATCTCGTTCACACTTACAATGCGTAGGGACATTCAGATTTAGACATGCGCAAAACAAATGAAATAGGCTTAGTTGGTAAGGGTTTGTTTGATGGTCGCGATAGCACTACCCCGCGCCCTAGTGTGTGGCGTATTTCAATGATTTAATGTGAGATATGAGCTCTTTGAATTGCTATGACTTCTACTCAGTCACATGACATGTCTCTATGAATGTTTTTATTTTTATTACAGAATTCAAATGTCTGATGATGTCCAGTGACGCGTGACAAGCTTGGGTACTGAGCCGGTTCTGTTTGCCACATACTCGCACGCATGCGTGAAATTCGAACATGTTGACTTTAAAATGAAATGTCAACCCACAGAAGATAAACATCCATATAGAGCAATATCCTACCTAGTCAAAGTGTTCGGCCAGCGAACGCGATACGGACTCCGCAGCGTGCCCCTATTCCATTGTACATGAAACTATATCGTAGGGTTTTCCCATACACTGATTCACGCCAACATTACTTTGTGTCTTCCCATAATTCCGTTCTATATAACACATGCGCACTAACTTGCTTGCCCAGTAATCCGCTACTAGTCGTTTTCTTTTGCTTGCGGTGTGAAATAATCATTTCTTTATTTTCTTTAAAGGCGCTAAGCTGCTTGATTGTTGTTGCATCCCTGATAATTTTTCTTCTATCAATTACAGAATTCAAAACTTTGATGATTGGTGCTTGATTAGAGAACATCAAGAAAGCGTGTCCAATCAGATTAAGTGTTGGTAGCTGACCCTGGGAGGTGACACTGGGTACGGCTATAGTCACCATAGCCACGGAGCCTTAATAATAACACGATCTTAAATCATAAGGGATTATCATCAATAACCATTAACTCTGCATCGAGCAACCATATACACGACCTCGTGTGTATCACATACATACCCTCTTGCCTGCTGTCACTCAAAGCACTTGAATAACTAAATCAGAAATACCGGTAAGATACACAAATTCATTCCCTGACTTTGTATATCGTCACCCGGAGTTAACCAGATGTCACGATGTGACGTCATCCTCTGAACGAGAGCATTCCAGCCTTACTTATCTCACTGTTGTTGCTGGAGCTTGCACAAAGCATCGGTAGCGAATGCCTACTTATACCACTAGTTTCTGTTTGTGTCATGTATTTACTATAAGTTTCTGTCCGTTCCATTAACAGAGTACCATTGGAAAAGCACGTATTATTATATCTATGTTTACATACTCATTTTTATCCAATTCTACTTTTATCATAATACATTTATTTTATATGAATTAGTAAGTCTGTGCTTTCCCATGATGCTCAGGACAAAATGGATTCCGGATATTGTATTTAAAATAATGAAAATAAGCTGCATAGACATACAATATATATGTTATAGTGTTGTTCTAACCTCCCGACACTGACGGATGCGCATGATATAATTGCTCAGTTCATAAGCACTAAGAACTTTTACTAATTACATTTTTCTCACCAACTAGCCACAGGTTTCGTTCCGTAGACTGACCCACACACTATACCACGCCCCTTTATATATATAGCAAAAACGAATCTCTGTTGCATCCTCAGCCGTGGAAGAGGGGGAAGACAAAATACTGACGTGTTGTACATTTTGAAGGAATACATGAGTGATTTTATCTGTTACTCTTTGTTGCCACTGTAAAATTTGGCGACAAAGGTTTCTTTATGTAATATACATATTAAAGAAAAAAACAGAATTGATTTTTTGTGTGGTTATCATTTTGTACATCAACAGCATGCTACTGTTTAAGAAAATCGTGTTTCAGGTTGAGCATACCACTATCTCCGATAACTATCACTGTCCCTGGTGAGAACAATATCACTGTCCCTGGTGATATACTACCACTGGTCGTCAGTAAGATATATACACTGTCCTGTAGACATTAACACTGTACGTCATAACTATACTACCACTGGTCGTCAGTAAGATATATACACTGTCCTGTAGACATTAACACTGTACGTCATAACTATACTACCACTGGTCGTCAGTAAGATATATACACTGTCCTGTAGACATTAACACTGTACGTCATAACTATACTACCACTGGTCGTCAGTAAGATATATACACTGTCCTGTAGACATTAACACTGTACGTCATAACTATACTACCACTGGTCGTCAGTAAGATATATACACTGTCCTGTAGACATTAACACTGTACGTCATAACTATACTACCACTGGTCGTCAGTAAGATATATACACTGTCCTGTAGACATTAACACTGTACGTCATAACTATACTACCACTGGTCGTCAGTAAGATATATACACTGTCCTGTAGACATTAACACTGTACGTCATAACTATACTACCACTGGTCGTCAGTAAGATATATACACTGTCCTGTAGACATTAACACTGTACGTCATAACTATACTACCACTGGTCGTCAGTAAGATATATACACTGTCCTGTAGACATTAACACTGTACGTCATAACTATACTACCACTGGTCGTCAGTAAGATATATACACTGTCCTGTAGACATTAACACTGTACGTCATAACTATACTACCACTGGTCGTCAGTAAGATATATACACTGTCCTGTAGACATTAACACTGTACGTCATAACTATACTACCACTGGTCGTCAGTAAGATATATACACTGTCCTGTAGACATTAACACTGTACGTCATAACTATACTACCACTGGTCGTCAGTAAGATATATACACTGTCCTGTAGACATTAACACTGTACGTCATAACTATACTACCACTGGTCGTCAGTAAGATATATACACTGTCCTGTAGACATTAACACTGTACGTCATAACTATACTACCACTGGTCGTCAGTAAGATATATACACTGTCCTGTAGACATTAACACTGTACGTCATAACTATACTACCACTGGTCGTCAGTAAGATATATACACTGTCCTGTAGACATTAACACTGTACGTCATAACTATACTACCACTGGTCGTCAGTAAGATATATACACTGTCCTGTAGACATTAACACTGTACGTCATAACTATACTACCACTGGTCGTCAGTAAGATATATACACTGTCCTGTAGACATTAACACTGTACGTCATAACTATACTACCACTGGTCGTCAGTAAGATATATACACTGTCCTGTAGACATTAACACTGTACGTCATAACTATACTACCACTGGTCGTCAGTAAGATATATACACTGTCCTGTAGACATTAACACTGTACGTCATAACTATACTACCACTGGTCGTCAGTAAGATATATACACTGTCCTGTAGACATTAACACTGTACGTCATAACTATACTACCACTGGTCGTCAGTAAGATATATACACTGTCCTGTAGACATTAACACTGTACGTCATAACTATACTACCACTGGTCGTCAGTAAGATATATACACTGTCCTGTAGACATTAACACTGTACGTCATAACTATACTACCACTGGTCGTCAGTAAGATATATACACTGTCCTGTAGACATTAACACTGTACGTCATAACTATACTACCACTGGTCGTCAGTAAGATATATACACTGTCCTGTAGACATTAACACTGTACGTCATAACTATACTACCACTGGTCGTCAGTAAGATATATACACTGTCCTGTAGACATTAACACTGTACGTCATAACTATACTACCACTGGTCGTCAGTAAGATATATACACTGTCCTGTAGACATTAACACTGTACGTCATAACTATACTACCACTGGTCGTCAGTAAGATATATACACTGTCCTGTAGACATTAACACTGTACGTCATAACTATACTACCACTGGTCGTCAGTAAGATATATACACTGTCCTGTAGACATTAACACTGTACGTCATAACTATACTACCACTGGTCGTCAGTAAGATATATACACTGTCCTGTAGACATTAACACTGTACGTCATAACTATACTACCACTGGTCGTCAGTAAGATATATACACTGTCCTGTAGACATTAACACTGTACGTCATAACTATACTACCACTGGTCGTCAGTAAGATATATACACTGTCCTATAGACATTAACACTGTTCGTCATAACTATACTACCACTGGTCGTCAGTAAGATATATACACTGTCCTGTAGACATTAACACTGTACGTCATAACTATACTACCATTGGTCGTCAGTAAGACTGTAGACATTAACACTGTACGTCATAACTATACTACCACTAGTGGTCAGTAAGATATATACACTGTCCTGTAGACATTAACACTGTACGTCATAACTATACTACCACTGGTGGTCAGTAAGATATATACACTGTCCTGTAGACACTAACACTGTACGTCATAACTATACTACCATACTACCACTGGTCGTCAGTAAGATATATACACTGTCCTGTAGACATTTGCACAGTACCTCATAACTATACTACCACTGGTCGTCAGTAAGATATATACACTGTCCTGTAGACATTAACACTGTACGTCATACATGTAACTATACTACCACTGGTCGTCAGTAAGATATATACCCTGTCCTGTAGACATTTGCACAGTACCTCATAACTATACTACACTGGTCGTCAGTAAGATATATACACTGTCCTGTAGACATTTGCACAGTACCTCATAACTATACTACCACTGGTCGTGAGTAAGATAGATACACTGTCCTGTAGACATTAACACTGTACGTCATAACTATACTATCACTGGTCGTCAGTAAGATATATACACTGTCCTGTAGTCATTAACACTGTACCTCATAACTCTTTACCACTGGTCGTCAGTAAGATATATACACTGTCCTGTAGACATTAGCACTGTACGTCATAACTGAACTACCACTGGTCGTCAGTAAGATATATACGCTGTCCTGTAGACATTAACACTGTACGTCATAACTATACTACCACGGGTCGTCAGTAAGATTTATACACTGTCCTGTAGACATTAGCACTGTACGTCATAACTATACTACCACTGGTCGTCAGTAAGACTGTAGACATTAACACTGTTCATCATAACTATTACCACTGGTCGTCAGTAAGATATATACACTGTCCTGTAGACATTAACACTGTACGTCATAACTATACTACCACGGGTAGTCAGTAAGATTTATACACTGTCCTGTAGACATTAGTACTGTACGTTATAACTATACTACCACTGGTCGTCAGTAAGATTTATACACTGTCCTGTAGACATTAGTACTGTACGTCATAACTATACTACCACTGGTCGTCAGTAAGACTGTAGACATTAACACTGTTCGTCATAACTATTACCACTGGTCGTCAGTAAGATTTATACACTGTCCTGTAGACATTAAAACTGTACGTCATAACTATACTACCACTGGTCGTCAGTAAGATATATACACTGTCCTGTAGACATTAAAACTGTACGTCATAACTATACTACCACTGGTGGTCAGTAAGATATATACACTGTCCTGTAGACATTAACACTGTACGTCATAACTATACTACCACTAGTCGTCAGTAAGATATATACCCTGTCCTGTAGAATTAACACTGTGCATCGTTAAGACATTTACTGTGAGCGTCACAAATTCATTAAGTCTTTATCACTGTGTGTCATTTAAATATTAAAACTCTGCAACATATATCCTCCAAGACATAACTGCGCGTTGTGCAGCATTAATTTATATTTACAATGTGTGTCCTATAGATACTCAAACTGTGAGTCACAACTTTATTAAAGCATTGCCACTGACATAATTCCATTACGTTTACACTCTCACTATTAAATTGTCTTTCATTCACGATACTTGAAATGAAGCGTGTGAAGCGTAATTGTCGAAGTATTGCAGATCTGTAAGTCGTATTCTAGGCAACACAAGATAATCCAAAATTTGTATTTAGGTCGCAAAGAATACATTTTCCTTCTTCTCTCGGAATGTTAATTCGTCTACAACATTCAATCGAAAATTTAACATTACAAATTCTACATTTACAGTAAACATTTGCTACTCTTGGAGGAAGATCTAGCTGGCATTCTCTGTAATTGGTTCCTGACAGTGAATTGAAAACATCGCTTCCCCAATTTGTAATGATTTATCTTTAAGTGTATGGAAGCTTTATTTTCAACCAATGGGTACTTTGGAATTCTTGTCTTTCAAACAGAAATATAAAATTACATTCAACAAGGATATTTCTAATAAATAAGACCATTAAGTCTAGAGAACCACAGCGCAGCTTAACTGTTAATAATTTAATCTTGCTTGTAACAGGCATTTCATTGGCTTAAACATTTGTTATCAGCCCATAACGTAAAATCGTTTGTAACGTCGCTTATGATTAGCTGATACAGTATCGCAATAATTTCTAAGAGAAAATAGTCAATCAATAAAAGTGGATAATTGTGTATAGTAGATTAAATTATAAGGATTAACTTGAATACATTTTTCATGTTATGAAGCTATAACACAAAAAAATGGAGTGAATTCTAAATAAACCGCGAAGCGGTATATGATGATAGTACACTCTGGGTTTTTTTGTGTTATATCTCCATAACATGAAATATATATTCAAGTTAATCCTTAAATAAATATTGTTCGACAGCCTTAAGTACAATTTAATTTTTAATATTATTCAAATAGAAAAAAAAAGTATATAGCTACTGCATAATAATTGAAAGAGGTATAGTTTAAATAAACAATAACTATTGAACACGCAGAGCTACAAAATATATATACACATGTAGTAGAAAACAGGAATATATACAATATATTAATTACAATATG